TTTTCTCTTCACTTTCTTCCATTTAATCTTGTTTGGTGAAACTTCCTTAGCCTGAAACCATAGGCATGCAGCTTTTTGGGGTTCCAAGGTCCTCAAGCAGCAGGACTTCTCCATGTGAGTGAGGAGCCACCCACTTTTGTTTCTTATTTTCTCACCAAAGCTTGAAGAGGAAAGAATGGGTAAGGGTGCTGGTCAAAAGGTGATTCCATCAGCACATGGTTTTGCTTGGTTTTGGTGGTTTGGCTTCGATCTGGTTTTAAGAAAGATGCTGGATATTTCCACGATGTTGGATATAAGACGCTGGGCTGTTTTGTTTCTAGCAGCTAGAAGTTTTGGCTGATGTGAGATTTTTCAAGTGTTGTGGGCTATTAGGTTTCCTTTTCTTAAGGTGATGGGCTATTGGGTTTTCTCTCTCATGCTTACCTATATGTTTGGGCTCAAGGAATGGACTTGAGTTTTGGTGCTCCCAAGTAGCCCAAAACTTCCACTCTTTGGACTATCAATGGGCCTCGTGAATACTCGTAACCATCCATACCACAACCCGCTCAGCAAGCCCCAGGCATTCGCGTGGCTTGGGCCCACTTAAGCTTGTAGCGTGGCATGTTGCTTATTTGCTTGGCGTGGCATGTGTGCAAGCGCATATGACGAACTTTCGTGTGCCCAAATCGGGTTTCTTCTCGATAAGGTATAGCATTGGGCTGAGATTATATTTGGGCCTAGCCTTGGATTTTTTGGGCCTCAACAGGAGGCTACAAAGGCTTTAAGACAGCATCTTTGACGTGTTTCACCGTACCAAACTCACCTTCTTACTTATTATTTATTTCGTTTTTACTTACCTATTATTTTATTTTCTTAAATTTCATTGTACCTTAAAAGCTTTCCAATTTATTTATAAGTTATTTATAATATAAATGTTTTTGTATTTGGCTTTACAGAAAAGGAAAACTATATTTTTTATAACACCCATGGCAAAGTGTCGAATGATGTCAGACCCATAACCTTCCCAGAATCCACATCAAGCTACTAGAACTCATACCAAACTGCCAATACCAAACATATATGTCAAAACCAAGCGTAGAAGCCAATATCAAGCATACAAGTCAAAAACCAAGCGTACACGCCAATATTAAGCGTACATGCCAATATTAAGCAGGACCTTTGCGACCCCTCCGACCTTCCCGAAAAATACATGGCTGTGATTTTTGGAGACCCTCAACTGGGCATACTTGAGTTGCTTATCGTTACATTTAAATATGTATGATCAAATCCCTACTCCCTTTCCAACATTGAAGGACAAGTGTCATCCCAAACTCTTTACAGTATTCAAAAGCAAAGTGAGGTTGAAAGAAGAATAATGCAATAAGCCCCTCAACAATGCAATTATCCGAGCATACCCTACTCATCATGCCAAGCAAGAAAACATCGTAAACTCAAATTCTAATACGCTTAGTCAAGCAAACTCTCACAACATGCCCAACCAATTTAATCCATGTACCAAGCTAATAGATCAGGCAAATCAAAGCAAGGCAAAAGGAAACTTACAAATCAATTACAGCTTGCCAAGCAAATTCTCTAACCCACATGCCAAGCCAATTACAATATGCCAAGAAGATGCACCTACGCAATTCACATGCCAAGCGAATTATAATATGTCGAGAAAGCAATCCAAGCAGTCAAGATTATTCAAATAGGTCCAAGCCATAAGAAATCATTGTAAGCTATTTGGACACATGCCTACACTCATGCCAAACCATACCATGCAATTCTGATCTGCAAGCAACATGCAATATCAAATTCCAATCGTGCCACTGCCAATTATTTTAGGCTGAAATTCATTATTTGGCCCATCTCGCTGCCACATGGCCCCAATAATCAATAGGGCTAATGTTGAGGCCTAAAATGTCACAAGAAGCCCAAAGATATTTAAAGCCCAATATAACATATAACGTTGGTCATGTGTTAATCCAAGCTGTATTTTGGGAATTAATTAAATAAATATAGAAATAGTGTACATGCCATGCCAAGCAAATAATACATTTTCCTATGCTAAACCACCTGACAAGCTTATGTGGGCCCAAGCCACATACATGCCATGGGGCTTGCTGAGCGAGTTGTGGTATGGATGGTTACAAGGGTCCATAAGGCCTGTTGAGGGATCAGACAGTGGAAGTTTTGGGCTACTTGGGAGCATCAAAACTCAAACCCACTTTCCTGAGCCCAATACACGGGTAAGCAGAGAGAGATCACACTTTTTCTTCCCAGCACTAAAAGCTACAGCCATCACCTCCCAGCATTAAAACCAACACCATAACCAACGGTCAAGCTAAAGTATTTAAAACCCAACCACTAGCCTCTTTTACCTGCATCAAAGCCAGACCTACCCATGCGTATTCCTCCATCACATATTATCTAGCCAAATCTTCCAACACTCTACTCCCAACCTCCCAACCGTCTCTATTAAAAGCCTTAGACCAATGACTACTCCTCCAATGCTTATAAAAAGAGGCTTTAACCAGGAAACAAAGGATAACCGGCAAGACATACACCCATTGGAAACACCCAAGCTTAACCCATTCATCTCCTCATTTTTCTCTCGGGAAGGCAGAGGCAAGCTCAACCTTTGCTGGAAATCACCTAGCCTTAGCTATTCCAAGTTCAAACACACCAAACCAAGCCGAGGTATGCTCATCCTCAACTTGCCCAAAAAACCTAGAAATTTCTATATTTAATTAATGAATTAATTCCCAAAATACAGCTTTGATTAACGCATAACCAACATTATATGTTATATTGGGCTTGAAAAATCTTTTGGGCTTCTTGTGACATTTTGGGCCTCAACAATTATATGGCCTAAAGCATGCGTTGAGAGGGTGGTACCAATGGTTTAGGAAATATTTACTTGGACTTGGTTTTGTGGAGTCAAAGTGTGATTATTCATTGTTCGTATACAATAATTTTGGAATTTACTTGATTTTTCTCATCTATGTGGATGATATATTGGTGACAAGCAATGATATGGCTCAGATTATGCGGTTGATACGAAATTTAGGCAGCCTCATGTTAATGAAGGCTCTTGGTTCCCTAAGCTATTTTCTTTGTATTGAAGTCGCATATGCATGGGTCAATTTATACTTGAGACAAGCTAAATATGCCAGGAATTTACTCAACCGTACCAGATTCATTGATTATAAGTTGTTTTCGACTCCCTATGTGTCTGGTCAAAAGTTAAGCAATCACATTGGTGAGCCTCTAAATGATTCTATGGAATATAGAAGAGTTGTGGGTGCATAATATTACTTAACCATTACACGACCGGATTTGTCTTATTGTAATAATCAGGTTTACTAGTATATGCACTCACATAGAACAGTGTACTTGCAAGTAGTTAAGAGAATTTTGTGGTATTTAAAAGCTACATCTAATCATGGTCTCTAATATAAATGGGGTACATTTGAGTTGAGTTCGTTCTCATATGGTGATTATGTTGGATATCCGGATACGAGACATTCTACAGGTGGTTTTGGTGTGTATTTAGGCTCCAATCTTATTTTATGGAGTTCTAAAAACCATAGAACAGTTTCTCGATCCAGCATAGAGGCAGAATATTGCCAATTAGTTTATACATATGCAAAACTGTCTTAGATGTGTTTGATAACTCCATATTTGTGCTTATTTTCTATACCATATTCCTATGATTTGCATTAGTTTCTTCTGTGAAATTGGTTGTTTTGATGTGTTTAGTATGAGTTTTATAGGAATCATCCCTAAAGTTGAGTTGGAGTTAAAAAGAGAAAAATATGATAAAAAAAGAGCAAAGAAGGTAGAATCTTGGAATTAGCAACTTGGAACTTAAGAAACTGCCTATGCAGATGGGTCAACTTTACGAATTAAACTGAATGTGCTCAAGAAGAACCAGATAACGTGCTTTATATATTTGGAAAACTCTGGAAGTCTAGTTTCTGGATCATTTTACGGTTCGTGATTTTGAGTTTTCTGGAGAAAGTTACATTAGTTTTAGTACCAGTGGGTCAGTGATGGAATTATTCGTGAGTTTTGACAACTTAGCATCACAAGTTACCATTCTTGGAAAGCAAACTTTTGGACATCCTTGGGCAGCTAGGAGGCACTTAATCTTGTGTTAAGTCAATTATAAATCAGCTATAATTGCCTAGATCAGTTGGTGTTTGGTCTTGTCAAAGAAGTGCATCAAAAGTCAAAGCCTAACTCAACTAGGAAAACAAACTCCCTATTCTAATTGGATTTTATTCTTATTTTTCTCTCCTATCTCAAGCTATTTCTCCTTTTTGGGTAGCCTATAAATATATATTTTCAAGGCTTTTGGGAGAACCCTAGCATATTGTTCAATATCTCAAATCACCCAATTCACATACTCAGTTTCTTAGCCATTCATAGCCTTCAAGATTTGCCGGAGGAGGAGTTCAACTATAGTGGATTCATTTAAGGGTTTTTCTATCTTAATTTAAACTTGTATTTTATGTTGTTTGTTTCTAAGATGGCTATGGGCAACTAAATTATTTGCTAGGGATCCGATGTAACCTAATATGATGATTCTATGTCATTGAGTTAATACTTTATTTTTAATCAATTTATATTTCTTGTTTCATTCATTGTTATAATTGTGATCTTGATACTTGTAATTGGTCATTATAGGTATTTTGGATTGTCTAAGATAAGGTTGGGTGAGGGGGTTCATCCCTAATCTTATATGCACTATGAATGAATGAGTTGTTGTTAAAGCTGGGTCAAGCTAAGACACTTCTTGGTTCTTGATTGTTCTTCATAAACTTAATGGGTTCTCAATTAAATTTGGCTATGGGGTTCATTAGTTGGGTTTAATTGAGGATACTTGGTGACACCGCGACCAAATGAATCATCATAATAAAGAAAAAATGAACCCTTGGAATTGAATTGGAACTTTATTCTCAAAATCAACCCAATACATAGAATATAATTGTTATGGTGAAGTCGGAATCCTAGTTTTCATCCATTGATTTTCAAAACCAATTTCTAACCATTGTTAATTTTATTTTCTTGATTATCAACACTTCGATTAAAATTGAGTAATCTTATTTTCGGCTACTTTAGTACTTTTAATATTTCGTTTTTATTTTCTAGTTTTCTTTAGGTATTCATATTTGGAATTAATTGATACACTTGACAAATCCGTATGGGAACGACTCTTGTATTTGCTTGCTATACTATCATATCGATTCGTGCACTTGTGAGGTATAACTTTTGTTCATCAGTGTTCCATGTTTAAGTATCTTTGTTTGTATTTATCGCCTTCAATTGTTTGGTGTGATAATGTCTCTTATACTTCCAATCTGGTGTTCTACTCTCACACTTAACATTTGGAAGTCGATTATCATTACGTTAGAGAAAAAGTGGTGCGGGGATAACTTTTTGTTGGTTACATCAGCTCATAGGATCAAGTGGCCAATATATTTACCAAGGGTCTGTGTCACACAATCCACTCTCTTAGCAAAATATTGTTCACTTTGGGCCCCACACACATAGATTTGTTCTTGGGCCCTCAACCACAAAACGTGTCTTACTAAGAGCACTTCCAGCAGTGAAACCCTTGCCATGGCAAGGGGGGTGCTAGGGCAGCTACTATTCACATGAATAGTGGCTGCCCTTGCAAAAAGCAATGTGTGTTTACAACAGTTGCCATAGCAAAAGGCAAATACTATTCATTTTTTTGTTTTTTTCACAAATTTGTTTACCTAAACAATTAATTTGGACAATATTTTTGGATATGATTTTGGGTGTGGGAAGTGATAAATATGAGTAAGTATTTATTTAAAAAAATTCTGAATTTTTTAAATTTTATTGCTGGCGTCATCGCTAACGTTAGCCCCCTCGTTTTGTATCTTGGGCTGAACTTGCCCTTGGGCCAGCCCTTCTTCATGGCCCCCACCTCCAGCTCGGGCCAGCCTGAGCTGTTGGAATCAGCTTTTAGGCGCCCCCCCCCAAACCCATCTGCTGGAAATGCTCTAAGGGAGATGGACTTTGCACATATAAGATACTTTACTTTCCCTCACCCAAGCGATGTGGAACTATGACACTCATGGTAGTCACAATCCACCCCATTAGAGGCCTGACATCCTCGTCAACACACTTCCGGTTGGGGCTAGCTCTGATACCAAATTGTCTTAGCCTACTCTCTTAGCAAGATATTGTTCGTTTTGGGCCCCACTCACACAAATTTATTTTTTGGTGAGAAAAAGTAAAGTGTCTTATATGTGTAGAGTCCATCTCCCGTAGTAATTGTTAATAGATTTCAGTTTATCTTCTCAGGTTTAGACGTTTGTCGATCTGTGAATCTGTGCTTCCGTGTTGCGTCAAATAGACAAAGTTGACGAAAATGATCCAAAGAACAATGCGACACCTAATTTGAGGACGACATGTCATCAACTATTATTAGAATACAGAGTTGACGAAAATGTCCCAAAGCACAACGCAAGACCTATTTTGAGGATGACATAAACTATTATTAGAATTCATGAATTAAAAAATAAAATAAAAACAAAGCTAATATCATTCAGAAATCGTTACTACAATTTAACCGCACTTAGAAATATATAGTTAGCATATGACAATGACATAATGTATTTTTTCTATTTATTTGGTGATCTAATGTAGAACTAGAGGTTAGCGAGCGCAAATTCTTGGGAGTATAGGCTTATATTATTTTTTATACAAAAAGAAAAACAAAAGGAGTGTTGTTATTGTAAGTGGAGAAATGGTTTTGAGCCTGTAGACTTAGGTGTATCAGTGCATTGACTGGTGTGGTTCGGTACACGGTGCAGTAGAGGAATAAATAACGCACTCACTGCCAAACCTGTGTTGGGTGGGTTTATCGTTAACCTCCTGTGAGTTGTGGCTGTGGCTGTGGTTTCCTTTATTATCTCATTCAAATGCTTCCTCTGTATCCTCTTTCACTTCACAATAAACCACCATTATCCCTGCACCCGTTTTCTCTCACAAACAAATTTAAAACACACATTTCTGAATTGCCAGTGCCTGGGAATGGTGTTTTCAAGAAGAATAAATCAAACCCGTATTACAATTCTTCTTCTTCATCATCTTCTTGTATTGTTTATGCTGCAGAGAAGGAGTCACAGCAATTTGAGGTAGACCCAGATAAGGCCCGAGAAGCTCTTAAAAATCTTGACCAGCAACTTCAATCTGGCTCCCAAAGACAAGCCCGCCCTCCAAGGCAAAAGGGTACTCTCTCTCTCTCTCTCTCTCACAAACACAAACACTTTGTACGAAATATTGTGAGTTTGATGATCATGTTTCTCTGTCTGTCTCCAACCCAATTTCTTTACTGCACTGTGCCTTTTGTTCATGTATGAGTTAATGTGCTGATATTTGAAATTTTCAATTACTTTTATTTGTACCAACCAACAATCCTAATGTGATTTAAATTACATATGGCTTTGTCTATAAAACCAGAGATAACAAAATGAAAAAACTTATGCTTCTTTGATGAATGCCCAATGTTGGTGAAATTGACCTTACATGTAACTAGAGCAAGTTATGCATGAACTTTTCTAGACCATGATTTGTTTCCACACTTCTAATCGTTTGCACTCTATTGCTCGAAACCGGATTATTATTCGATTACAGTTAAAATTAAGTTAATCTTGTCAAAACTGTATTTTTCTAATATAGTTTAGGGTTAATTACATCAATGATCCCGAATTTTGTACCCGGGTTTCACTTTAGTCCCTCAATTCAGTTATTGAGTTCTATAGTACTTAGAGTTGCAAAGGAACTATGCAGTAGCATTTGTAATTTCATAGGGCCATTAATGGGATGTTGATCTTATGACGAGAAGTGTTTTCAACTGAATTGCAGCACCGGATGTGCGTTTTGCAAGAGATCAAACAGAAGATGAAGAAGTTCAGGAATTTTCAGGATCTTTCTTTACAATCACGGCTGTTGCTGTCTTTGCTTTCACTATTTTCTATAATGTGTTGTTTTACACTGTTATAAAACCATCCATAGATGGACCAGAGCAAGCTCCAACCACAATTGTTCCAAGAGAAATCCCAAAGTAGCAGTTTTGAGCCCCTGCAGGAAATTTATGTTCAACAAATAAACAGGTTCTGGTTTGAGTTTTGTAAAGGCAACTTTCTGACAGAAATGTAGTTTATGTAAAAACAATTCTAAGAAAGAAAAAACCAAACTTATTTTATTCAGATTTTGTGTTGTTTTGGTTCTTAAAAAGAGGCAGATCTCTGCTAAACATAAATATGAAAAGTTGGTAATTAGACCTCTGAAATCTTCGTGCAATCAACTATGCCATGATTGCTGAATTTTCTTTTTTCTTTTCGGTTTTGGGTTTTTGGTTTTTATCCTGCGTTTAGGAGATTATCGCATGGGCCAATCTTCATGCAATCAACTATGCCGCCACGATGTCGTTTTACGGAGAAAAACCTAGTTGCAATGGGAATAGCACTATTTTGCTATGTCGGCTAATAATACTATGACATGTGGAGTGTTATCACGCATGTTTATTGGCTGAAAATAACAAAATAGTGCTACTCTGTTTCATAGAAGTCTTTCTCCATTTTATGCTTCCATTAAATTATATTTGTAATATAACAGTTGAGCGGATCATGGACATTTGTCAACATGGGCCCAGACAAACTCAAGGTCTTTGTCCATCTCTCACACGCCAATTGATATCCATCTTACTAAAAAGAGTGCATCACTCACAACTGAAAAATATCTAGAATATGCCTTATATAGTTTTTCTTTTGTCAAAGTCAGGAAGTGAAGTGGGGAAACGCACACACGACACAAGTACTTTGGGAACTTGAACACGTGACTACTTGAAAGCATGGCCTAGACCAATCCAACTAACACTTCATTAATTCATATAGTTTATGCTACTTCAAATGAAGCTAATGACATTTCACTTTGGGTATCCAAAACTTTTACCAAAATATCTTAAACCATGAACGACTCAAGTATTCCCTTGGATTAGTTTAATTTCATTTATTAATGGCAAATTGCAACTTTCAATGTAGTCAATAGTTCATGTGGCATTGGTCTAAGTTTTTCTTCAGGAGAGTGGCCCATGGGAAACCTTTTACCTCTACCTACTATCCACTTTTTTCTAAAATCGGGAATCAATTCACAAACCTCCAAGAAATATATGACACATTTCATATTGTCTCATTTACAAAAGAAAGAAAAACTTTGAGATTTCAAAACATTTGATTCCTCATAGGATACTATTAGTCAAACAATATGATAGAATATTTTCAGATGTATTTCATTCTCCGAAAGGAGGTATTTATAATACAGGTTACAAACCCTAGTAGGGTTTAATTAGGAAATAAGTGGAATCCTAATTACATAATATCTACACAAAAGGAAAAAATAAATAAAACCCAAATAGAATAGGACTCGCCAACACTCCCCCTCAAGTTGGAGCAAAGACGTCACGCATGCCCAACTTGTCAAGCGAGTTGAGAAAGATACTTGTAGAAACAGCTTTCGTAAGAACATCAGCTAACTGATACTCTGAACGGAAGAAGGGGAAGGACACAATCTCCGCATCCAACTTTTCCTTAATGAAATTTCGATCAACCTCCACATGCTTTGTACGGTCATGTTGTACAGGATTATGAGCAATTGCAATCGCAGCCGTATTGTCACAATATAACTCCATGGGTTTATTAGGCCCAAAACCAAGGTCTTTCAACAATCTTCTCAACCATAGTAACTCAGATACACCATGGGCCATTCCCCGATACTCGGCCTCAGCACTAGATCTAGACACCACCTTTTGTTTCTTGCTCCTCCACGTAACAAGATTGCCACCCACAAACATAAAATACCCAGATGTCGAACGCCTATCTGTGGCTGAACCTGCCCAATCAGCATCTGTATACCCTTCTACATTTGTATGGCCATACTTGGAGAAAATTAACCCCTTGCCAGGAGTTACTTTCAGATACCTTAAAATACGAGTCACAGCCCCCATATGATCTACACTAGGAGAGTGCATAAACTGACTCACTATATTTACAGCATACGCAATATCTGGACGAGTATGAGCCAAATAAATCAACTTCCCCACAAGTCGTTGATAACGTTCTTTATCAATTGGAACTTGATCGGGATATATCCCCAACTTATGATTCTGCTCACTAGGGGTATCAATCGGTTTACAATCCAACATTCCAGTTTCTGCAAGCAAATCCAAAACATACTTTCTTTGGGACAAAAAAATACCATGCTTAGATCTGGCAACTTCAATCCCAAGAAAGTATTTCAAGTCACCTAATGATTTCATCTCAAATTCAG